AAAAATAAATAAAATAAAATAAAATACAGAGTCAAAAAAAAAGAGAGAGAGAGAGACTTCCCTACAGAACACTCTTGGCCCCTCACTCAGTCCTGCTCTGCTTTTGGGAGAAGGAACTGGGCTCGCAAGCACAGTCCTTCCAGGTTCTCCCTTTAGGATGTGCCTGCCTGCAGAGAGCCTGCCTCCCCGTGTGCTCCAGCCGTGCGGTGAGCTTAGCAGGCCTGATGCTACGCAGCTGCAACAGTGCCTAGTGAGTAAATCCAATGGGGACTCAGAATCTCGAGGCTCACTGTTGCTACACATTATTTTCAAACACCTAAGTCACGTCTCCCAGCCTAACTTTTAACAGCTCCAGAGCTACCATTCTGATCTCCACTTATCTGACTTGCATCTATCTCTCAACGGGCTCCCCCTCTGGCAGTGAGGAGGGGTACTTTTACTGGGCCCACAAAAATTCTAACAAGACTAACACACCTAACCAACACAGAGAATGAAGACAGAGGAACTAAGAAAATAGTCAAGCAGTGTAAAGAGTAAACTCCATTCACCCATTTTCTGCATGCCTGTGTTACTATTTCTTGACAAAGAATAAATATAGGACTCAGAAATACGGGCCTTACCTGTCACTCTGCTTGGTTCCTTTGCTGTCAAAAACGGTGGGAGAGTCTGCCCGGGGCACAACCGCCGTCCAGATGATGCCAAACCAGTCCCCCACTGGAACACGATGCCACTTGCTTCCCAATGGAGAAGAAGAAAATGAGAAAATGTTTTACGGGATTAAGACGAGATTGCTCCTGGAGCCCCATGCTACGGGAGTTTCTCAATGCATTCTCAGTTAACACGCTTGCTATGGAGAAGCTCAGTGCTTCCAGGGACCCTATGACTTGGTTACCACCAAGCCAATCACAAGTCCAATCTTCAGGGCAATTTAAGACCATCAAAGAAAATTCCCACATACTAAAACTCCTTCCAAAAAGTTCCAGGACACTCTTCCAGAGTCAAAGCACTGAAACGACACCTTGTTCATGACTAACCTGGAAGGACAACTCAAACTCCTGACCCGGCAGGAAAGAACATGGAAGATTATCAAGTCCATTCCTCACATTTAGTAGACGAGCAAACTAAGGGCTTGAAGAGACGGTGTGATGTGCCCAAGGTCATACAGGGAGCTAGGAGCCGAGAAAATACTAGGACTCAACTCTCGTAACGCCTAATGCAGTGTCTTTTCTACTATACCAAAGTAAATGCAGTGATTCCTAATTACCAAATAAATACATATTTATGACTGCAAGACAGCTTAATAGCCACTCCTTCAGGGGAATGGCCTTTTACTTCCCTATCCACTGAATCTAGTTCATGTGCCCATGTTCTGAACCTCATGTAAGTGCACAGGTAACATTTCATATATTTAATCTACAGTCACTCCTCCGGAAGCATCCTGTAACCCACGTTCCTTTAGGCTGTAAACAGACCAGCCCACTTTGTGAAACAGAAGTGATGACGACTGGCAAAACACAGTGCTGAAATAAAACAAAACTTACCATCTCTTCCACAAATAAATTGCAAGGGGGAGAAAGAGGGAGGAAAAATAATTTATAGATTAAAAGAATCTTGTGATATCGATAAGGGATTAATATTCAAAATATATAGAGAACTCCTAAAACTCAACAACTCAAAAAAAACCTGATTCAAAAATGAGCAAAGGACTTGAAGAGACATTTCTCTAAAGAAAACATACAGATGATCAAAAGGCACATGTGAAAGAGGCTCAATATCACTATTAAAGAATGCAAAACAGAACCACAATGAGATACTACTTCATACTCATTAGGATGGCTACTATTAAAAAAAACAACAGAAAATAACAAATGTTGGCAAGGATGCGGAGTTCTCTGGAACCCTTGTGCACTACTGGGAGAAATGTAAATGGTACGGCCCTTGGGGAAAACAGCATGGCAGTCCCTCAAAAAATTAAAACAGAATTACTATATGATCCAGCAGTTCTACTTCTGGGTATACATCCTACAAAACTGAAAGCAGGACCTGGAAGTGATAGTTGTACACCCATGCTCATGGCAGCCTTATTCACAATAGCTGACACATGGCGGCAACCCAAGTGTCTATCAACAGGTGAACGGATAAGCAAAATGTGGTCTATCCACACAATGGAACAGTCAGCCTTAAAAAGGGAGAAAATTCTGACACACGCTACAACATGGATAGACCTTGAGGACACTATGCTAAGTAAAATAAGCCACAAAAGGACAAACACTGTACAATTCCACTCATAGGAGGTACCTGTGTGAGTGGTCGAAATCACAGAGTCAGAAAGAAGAATGGTAGTCGCCAGGGGCTGGCAGGGAGGGGAAGTTATTGTTTGTGGTTCCACAAGATGAAAAGAGTTCTGGAGATGGATGGTGGTAATGATTGTACAATAACGTGAATGTACTGTACACATAAAAATGGGATGGTAAATTCTGTCACGCGCATTTTATCACAAATAAAAAATTACAAGGAATAAATATTTTTAAAAGGAGAGACAGGACATTCATATCCACCACTTGCAGCCTAGACATCATTGGGATCCTGAGTCAAACAAACTGTTAAAAAAATATTTTTGAGACAGTCAAGAAAATTTAAACACTGACTGGATACTTGATCAAATTGCAGATTTATTGTTAGTTTTTTGTAGGTATGATGATGGTATTTTGGTAATGGTTTCAGAAAGAGTCCTTATCTTTTAGACATGCCTGCAGAAATATTTACAGATTAAATGAGAGAGGAGGACTTACAATTAAGTCCATCAAACGCAACTGAGGGTTGCTGGAGTGGAGGGGAGTGGGAGGCATGGGGTGGCTGGGTGATGGACATTGGGGAGGGTATGTGCTCTGGTGAGCGCTGTGAACTGTGTAAGACTGATGAATCACAGATCTGTAGCCCTGAAATAAATAATACATTATATGTTAAAAAAAAAAAAAAAGAAGAAGATAGTAGGAAGGGAAAAATGAAGGAGGGGAAATTGGAGGGGGAGACAAACCATGAAAGACTATGGACTCAGAAACAGAGGGTTCTAGAGGGGAGGGGGATGGGGGGATGGGTTAGCCCGGTGATGGGTATCAAAGAGGGCATGTATTTCATGGAGCACTGGGTGTTATACGCAAACAATGAATCATGGAACACTACATCAAAAACTAATGATGTAATGTATGGTGATTAACAACATAATAAAAATTTTTTTAAAAAGTCCATCAAACACATAATGGAAACTGCTGCTTTGTAACTGGACAGAAATGTACACGTAAGACTAGCAATTACAGAAGTTGGTAGGAAAGGGGGAATTAAACCAATAATAAGCAATTCTCCAGTCCTAATTTCTAAAAGGAGAAGCAGCTTATAAAAATGTAATCACTAGCATACAACTCAGCAATCACACTCCTGGGCATTTATCCCAGAGAAATGAAAATTTATGTCTGCATAAAAACTTGTCCACAAATGTTTATAGCTTTATTCTTAATAGCCAAAACCTGGAAACAACCAGATGTCCCTCAGTGGGCGACTGGTTAAACAAACTGCATTGTTGTGGGCTGAACTGTGCCCCACAAAATTCGTATGTTGAGGCCCTAAACTCAGGTGTGACTGTATTTGGAGAGAGGCCTGTAAGGAGCTAATAAAGGTTAAATGGGTCATAAGAGTGAGGCCTTCACCTGACAGAACTGGTGTCCTTATAAAAAGAAGAAGAGATACCAGATGCCTCCCTCTCTCCATGAGTGCACAGAGCAAAGGCCCTATAAGGACACAGCAAGAAGGCAGCCATCACAAGTCAGGAAGAGAGGCCTCACCAGAGAGCAACCCTCCTGGCATCTTGATCTGGGACTTCTAGCCTCTGTAACTGAGAAAACTGTTTAAGCCACCCAGTCTGTGATATTTCGTTATGGCAGCCTGAGATGACTAATTCAGTGGTATATCTATACCAGGGACTACTACTACTCAGCAATAAAAAGGAAAAAATTATTGATACACACACCTTGGATGACTCTCCAGGGAATCCTGCTGAGCAAAAACAGTCAACCCCAAAAGGCTATATACTGTATGATACCATTATATAACATCCTTGAAATGACATTACTGTTGGGGAACAGAAGAGTGGCTGCCAGGAGCTAAGAACGGGTGGGGGCAGGTAGGAAGTGAATGTATAAAAGGTACATACAAGGGTGTATTAAAAGTGAGTGCTAGGAAAAGGCCACAGGCGGGATGGTTATGGTGATGGAGCTGTTCGTATCCTGACCGTATCAAGACCGGCTGGGCTGCTGAGCTACAGTTTCACAAAATGTCACCGTTGGGAGAAACTGGGAAGAGAGTGCATGAGATCTATTTTATTTCTTGCAACTGCATGTGAATCTGCAATTATCTCAAAACTTGTTTCCTACATGCGCAACATTAAGCCCCAGGCGACCATCAGTACCGAGCTGCACCAGACCCTTCCTCGCCCCCTCCGGCCTCCCCGGGCCACAACTGGACTCATCAACGCTTGAGCCTGAGCTGCCAAAGCCAGTTAGGTCTGCCCTTCACCTCGCGAGAGTGGGAGCAGAAAAATGACCCAGGGGGAGGAGAAAGGCTCACCGCTCTTCTGCAGGCCATCACCTCTCTCCGCCTGCCACCGTCACCCTCACGCACACTGTCAGCCTGAGGTCCACCACCACTCTCTCATGGTACGGGAGACAAGCTCATTGGAAGCTTTGACATTAATAAACGTTAAAACCCACTAGGAAAGCAGTGTAGTTCACAGTAAAGAATGCGGGCCTTGGAAAGGAGGTCATTCCAGACTCTGTTCCCAGCTCTACCTTTGACCACCTTATCCCCTAAATATCCCCTGCAAACTTAGACAAGCACTCGAGTCTCTGCATCTCAGTTTCTTCACATGTAACTCGCATCACAGGCAAGGTTGTGAGGATTAAATAAGGTATGGATTAAATCAAGAGAATCTAGCACCATGCCTAGAACATAATAAGGAGCTAGAAAACTTCATTTCCTTCCTCCCCACCTGCTAAAGGTTTCCCACACGACTTTGGCCTTATGTCTCCTCCTTCTAATCAGAAATGCAGCACAGCAGGACACTTTGAATTACTCCTTCGAGTTTATCTCCTCTAAAGCTCTGCTTCTCTTTATTATGAGCCTATTTTGAAAATAAAAGCAAGATGATCACCTGTAGCAGCTAAAGCATGCCTCAGTCCAGCAGCAATGCAAACGACCTTCTCTCTCAGGAGCTGTGGAAAGAAAGAAAAGGACTGAGATCTTAGAATCACCCATCTGCAAGATGTTACATACTTTATGCCCTGATACAATGCAGTATGGCCCTCATTACATGTCGGACTGCTTTAGAGTCCCCAACCTCCAACATTTCCATCCCTAAATACCTCTATATGCATCCTGAAAAAGAAAAAAAAATCTTTTATAAATAAATGTATCACAATGCGTTTCAGGGCTGCAAGGGACCTTCAAGGTCATCCAGTCCAGGGGTTGGCAAATGTCTTCTATAAAGACCAGAGAGTAACTATTTTAGACTCTGCAGGCCACATGGTTTGTGTCATAGTCTCTGCTCTGCCATCGTAACATAAAAGCAGCCCCAGGCAATACATGAATGAATGGGCATGGCTGTGTTCCAGCAACACTTCATTTACCCAGGGTTCTAGCTGGATGGCCTCTGATCTAGTCCAAGCCCCATCCAATGCCAGAACCCCTCCACAACACCCCAGGAAATCATCACCCCACCCCTCCCAAGCAGCTGCTTCCAGTGACGTGGGCTCACTATCCCCAGGTGCCTACTCCGTGTTTCCACCTTCCGTTCACCTCCTTAGCTGCCTCTAGCCTCTCACAATGCTTTCCAAATATGTGAAGACAGTTGTCGTGTGTCCTCTCTGAGATGTCTTGTGGTGGCTTTAAAACCAAGTCCTCAAATTCTTTGAAACCCATCCCTTGAAGTTGTGGAGCCTAATTCCCCTCTGGCTGAATGTGCGCTGGACTTGGTGACTTGTTTCTAGTGACCAGGAAAAAAAAGTGATGAGCAGCCTAGAGACAAGGTGATAAAAGGCACTGAGGCTTCCTGCTTGGCCTCACTCTCGAATCTCTCTTGGGGGAAGCCAGATGCCATGCCTGCACAATCCCACAGAAAGGCCCATGGGGCAAGGAACTGAAGCCAACTGCCAGGTGAGAGAGCATGGCAGCGGGTCTGCCAGCCCAGCCCAGAGCCGTCAGCAGACGGCCTGCAGCCCTAGCTAACATCTTGACCGTAACCTCATGAGACCAGCTAAGTTGTTCCCAGATCCCTGACCCTCAGACACTGAGATGGTAAATGCTTGTTGTTTAAAGTTGCTAAATTTTTTTTTTTGGGGGGGGGGCAGAGAGAGAGAGAGAGCATGCGCTCTTCACTCCACCCTCCACACTACCCCTTCTGGCCCCCCCCAACACATTGTTCTGACCACTGGCCATATACTACCTCCCTGATGGTCCCCTCCCCATGGGCACTTCTACCACTTCCTTATATTCCAATCATACTAAACTGCTTGCAGTATCTCAAACCCTGATATTTTATGCTTCTACACCTTTGCTTATAGTTCCTTCTGTGTGGAACGCTCTTCTTTTATAGCTACTCTGTGCATCTTATCTCAAGCCACGTAAACTTCTACTCAACTTTCAAGACTCAGCATAAGCCTGCTCTCACTCCACCTCCCTCTCCCTAGAAGGAGTTAAGTATCCCCTCCTTTGAGTCTATACCTGCAGCCACCATAGTTTTAACATGGTAATGCATTTAGATGCTCTAGATCTAACATGTACCACTAAACTCTAAGACCCTCAAATGCTCAGATTGGGTCGTACTCACCTTTGTCCCCATGGCCCCAAACACAGTGCCTATACACAACAGTTGCTATTAAAGAAATGAATTTCTTATATTTCACTTTGGCACATTCCTCCCGTTGTTCAAGAGGATGCAGCCTGACAAATGTTGTCACCTCCTGATTCTGTCATCCAACATATTTTAACCATTGTTCCCTTCTGTCTTCTTTAATCATGTGACCTAAGCTAAATTAATCAGAACTTATGTAGGTTCTTAAAAAGCCATCTATTTGTAATTGGCAACTGTAACACTTCCTACGATAGGGACCGTAGAGTCTAGATTTCTCTGCATACCATGTGCTACAGACTGAATGTTTGTTTTCCCCTGAAATTCATATATTGAAACCTATTACCCAATGTGACAGTATTTGGAAATACGGTCTTCTGGAGGTAATTAGGTCATGAGAATGGAGCCCTCATGAATGGGATTAATGCCCTTATAAAAGAGGCCCCAGAGAGCGCCTTTGTCCAGCAAAACGAGTGTCTATGAACAAGGAAGCCGGCTGGTCCTCACCAGACACCAATTCTGCCGATGCCCTGATCTTGGACTTTCCAGCCTCCAGAAATGTGAAAAATAAATGTTTGTTGTTGAAGCCACCCAGTATATAGAATTCTTGTGACAGCAGCCTGAACTCTAAAACACTGTGGAGATCATGACCTCAAATAATATCCCAAAGACCAGCAACTGTAATTCAGCAACATGACCAAGCTCTCTCCAATGAAAACAGATCTCCTACTCTGAGTCAGAGTTCAAGAAAATTAGCTAGATGTGAGCAGCTGAGGTGGTGAAACTCATTTTAGATCCCAGCATATTTCTTTTAAAATTCCATAGTCCCGGGGCACCTGGGTGGCTCAGTCAGTTGAGCAACTGACTCTTGGTTTCAGCTCAGGTCATGATCTCAGGGTCATGGGATCGAGTCCCATGCTGAGCACAGAGCCTGCTTCTCTCCCTCTCCCTGTTCCCCTCCCCCACCACACACACGCTCTCTGTCTCTGTGTGTGTGTGTCTCTCTCAAATAAATAAATCATTAAAAAAATAAAATAAAATTCCACAGTCCTATTGTGACCACTTACATACAAACTTCACAAAAATGTGTACATTGTAAGTATGATGCAGTGGAAAGAGCTCTGAACTAAGCCCAGGAGTCCTGTCTAGCACCCGGGCTGTCCAGGAAGAAGCCACTAGCTACATGCAGCTACCAAGCAACCAATATGTGACCAGACATAACTAGGCTAAACTGAGACACACTCCGAATACAAAATGTACACCAGAGCTCAACGTGTATGAAATAGAGAACATAAAGCATCTCATTAGGAAATGTTAACATTAGTGACACATAAAATGAAATAATACTAATTTGAATACAATGGGTTAATTTGAAAGTTACTAAAATTAATTTCACCTACACGCCACAATATGAGTGAAACTTAAAAACATCATGTGACATGAGAGAAGCCAGACACAAAAAGCCACATATTCTATGATTCCATTTATGTGAAATGCCCAGAATAGGCAGATCCACAGAGACAGATGAGTGGTGGCCAGGGGTTGGGGGAGAGCAGAAGGGGAAGTAATTGCCATCGGGTGCACAGTTTCTTTCCTGGTGATGAGAATGTTCTCAAATTAGATAATGCTGATGGCCGCACGTCTCTGTGATACACTAAAAACCACTGAATTATACATTTTTAAAGGGTAAATTCTATGGCATGTGAACTACATCTCAATAAACCTGTTATTTTAAAAATTAATTTCATATTTTTCTCTTTACTCTTAAATGATGCTACTAAAAATTCTAAATTATGTATGCGATTCACATCACATTTTTATGGGGCACTACCGGCCTACCATTTGCTGAGCTTAGTGTCTTTAGCTAAGTCCCTTCTATCTGGACCTGTTTCTAACCTAGTTCCCATTATTACTAATTTTAGAATTGTAAAATGTAATTAATGTCTTTGTGACATATATTACTTTCATTGTTTTATTTCACAAAAATTTATAACGTGTATGAGGACTAACAGGTTTTTCACTCACAACCTCCACCACCCACCCCCGATCTACTTTTTCCCGGGAGAACCTAGGTTTTCCAACTTAAATTCTGACTAGCCCCTGGGTTTTCAGGGACCCAGCCAGTCTCTGAGTCTGGGGCAGGGAAATGCTTTAATAGGACGTGGGTCAGCTACATATTGGGTGCTATCCTTACCTCAATGGCCTGGGGAACCACACATCTTCGAGGGCCATGAGGAACCCCCAGCTGGCCAAAGGAGTTGGATCCACATGACAGAACTTGACCACTTTCTGCAAAATTCAAATACTTAAATCATAATCTAAGAAGTAAGATATCTGTAACCAGTGGGTAAATGCTGAAGGATGGGAAGAGCAAAGGGAATGAGAGGAGGAAGTGGGGGCTGTGATTCAGCACATTCAAACCACAGTCCCTGCTTTTATTGTTCCTCTAGGAATAAAAACACAAGGCACTGGGCTAGGTTCACAGATTCTCCATCACACTACCTAATTAATGGCAGCTTATCTGTGTAGAACATTAGCCCGCTGCCTGGTGCTGGGATGGGAGGATACTTACTCCCCACTTTTCTCATTTCCATGCATCACAACTTTCATTATTTTAACACTCCAGGCCTCTCTCCCTGCTCCTCCCCATGCTCACTGCCTCCCCGGGGAAAAGGGAGAACCTAACCAACTGATGAGTTTGGGAGAAGGAACACAACATGTGTGGCTTGGTACCTTCCTCTCAGGTATTCTGGACTGATGCATAGTAAGTGTTTCCCCTACACAGATAACCTAGTGTTTGCAGAATAAGTTTGGGTCAGAGGAGTGTTACAGAACCCCTTGGCCTGACCATCAACCCCGTCCTCCAACTTAGCCTTTATCAGTGAAAAGCCAATACAGTGTGATCTCCAGCTATCTGGCAGCTCTCCTCCTTTCTCACAACTGGTTCCACAAGTGAGCAGGAAACAGAGAGTTATCCACTGACATCTTACAACCCCAACACAGTCCACGAAAAGCACTTCATAACGATAGCTATTATTTAGAGTTATTACTACTAAATTCAGCACACATTACAGAACCCCTCTGCAGAAGAGATGGTGATGCCTGAGCAGGGTTTTAAAGAAGGGATAAGAGTTCATCAGAGAGACAAAAGGGGCTGTACCAGAGAACAATGTTCTGCGTGATATTTCTAGAAAGAAAAGTATGGGGAATGTGGAGAATAAAAGACAAGGCAACAACAAGGATAGGTAGGGAACAACAATCAAAGCCATGTGTAAAAGCCTGGGATCTGAGCTATGCTCATGAGAATCCACAAGCGTGGGATGGGAGAGGATATGGTCAGAAGATGCCCTTTCCAGAGGACTGTGTCAATGAGGGAATCTAATCAGAAACTCTAGATGGTCTTTTCCATCCAGAATGACAAGCTCAATGGGGCAAAACTACTTCCAGGGAGAAGTCAGCTGGACAAAAACTAACTATTGCTAGCTGCTCCCAAGAGCATTATCCTATTAACCCTTTGGCCATATCCCTCTACATCCTATTCTGCTATCTGGCTTTACAGAGACCAAACAATTCTGCCCAACCATATTTAATTTTTTTTTTTTAATCCTTCACTGGGGAAAAAGATGTTACCACTGTTGTGTGACCTCTGATTTCCTCATGCTTCCCCACCACATTCCCCCATGAGTAGCCCTTAGCCAGCACAATTGGCCAGCTAGCCCAGGCACACACCTATCATGAATTTCTGGGACAGGAAGTAGCCACCAAAGTTAATCTAGTCCATCCCCCAGTTTCTGGCAAAGAATTTTCTAGCCCCAAATTTTGCTGTTCAAACTCCTCTTGCAAAAGGCACCCACAACCTTCCTCAACAACCAGAGAGAAATTTGTATGTGTGTTTACACATATAGAGGATTTCACTTCATTGGGATCACCACCACCAAGCTCTTCTCACCCATTGCCTTGGCGGTGATAAAGACTTACCCAAGAGTGAACTCACCTGTGAGAATAATGGTAAAATCCCAGCCACAGGCCACCTGTTGGATAGGACAGCCAAGGAGGGACCTGCAGGCAGTAAAATACAGAACATCTTCTGTGTGACCAAGCCCCAGTTGCCCGTCTTTGTTCAGACCACAAACAAAAAGGCCTCCACCATCTGCAAAAGGCAAAGGCTTTGGTGATAGTGTACACGGGGGAAATTACAACTGTCAAAGCGAGAAAGAGGATTTCACTAATTAGTTGCAGTCACAAACCCAGCCTCTCTTCTCCCACGCGCACTAATAAGCCACATAGGTTAATGTGCACTGGTCTAAACGGCATAGGGCCAAGGCGTTCAAATCCAGTACCGACACGGGACTCCAAGTCCTAGAGCAGTGGCCAGTCACCTAATCGAGCATCTGCCAGAACAAGAAAAGCCCACATCCATCTAGAACTTAGAACATGCCATGTATTATGATACGAGCCTTATCTGTGGGGCCGATTTATCCTTTAGGCACAGTGCCTAGGGCCTACAATACTTTTAGAGGCCCACAAAAATGTTTGTTTCCTTTTTTTAAAGATTTTATTTATTAATTTGACAGAGAGAGACAGCATGAGAGGGAACACAAGCAGGGGGACTGGGAGAGGGAGAAGCAGGCTTCCCACTGAGCAGGGAGCCCGATGCGGGGCTCCATCCCAGGACCTGGGATCATGACCTGAGCCGAAGGCAGCCGCTTAACCGACTGAGCCACCCAGGCGCCCTCATAAAGATGTTTTAATTTTATATTCTTTTTTTTTAAGATCTTATTTATTTATTTCACAGAGAGAGAGTGAGAGAGCACAAGCAGGGGGAGCGGCAGAGGGAGAAGCAGGCTCCCCGTTGAGCAGGGAGCCCAATGTGGGTTCAACCCCAGGACCCTGAGATCATGACCTAAACCAAAGGCAGACACTTAACCAACTGAGCCACCCAGTGCCCCTAATTTCACATTCTTTTAAAATAAGAAAAAAATAAATGCAATAATAATGAAAATGCAACGCTAAATCTAGCCTGGATTAGACTAATCTTTATATCAATGAGGTTGTAAAACAGAATTCTTAATACTTCTTTATGGAGGAAAGGGTCCACAAAGGCAAAAGTGCCAAGGACCCATGAAAGTCATAATGCAGCCCTGTCACTCACTGATTCTCCTCATCCAGCCTTATTACCCCCATGTAGCAAAGGGGAAATGGCACAGAGGAATTAATATGCTCAAGGCCACACAGATAATAATAGAACCAGGATTTGAACCCAGGCAGTTGATTCCAGAACTCACGTTCTTTTTTTTTTTTTTTTTAAGATTTTATTTATTTATGTGAGAGAGTAAGAAGCAGAGGGAGAAGCAGGCTCCCCGCTGAGCAGGGAGCCTGACGTGGGGCTCGATCCCAGGACTCTGGGATTATGATCTGAGAAGAAGGCAGCCACTTAATCGGCTGAGCCACCCAGGCGCCCCCCGCCCCAGAACTCACATTCTTAACCAGGATGCAATATGCCCTTCTTTGCAATATCATGGCACCTGTAGTACATGTTAAGTACTATCATAGGTTCTGCAAAGGAAACTAAGGAAAACACAAAGTTCTTGCTCTCAAGGAATATTCAATCTAATTGCAAAGACTTCTACCTCACAAGTGAAAGTTAAACAGCAATATATAATATAAAATATAAAATATGTTGCCAACTTTGTCACTAATGTGTCTTGTAACCTTAAGCAACTGGTTTTCCTCTCTGAGCCTCATTTGTATAAATGGGGGCAGGGAGCCTAGAAGATCTCTGAAGGCCTTTCAGCTCTAAAAATCTAGAATTCTCGGGCGCCTGGGTGGCTCAGTCGTTAAGCGTCTGCCTTCGGCTCAGGTCATGATCCCAGGGTCCTGGGATCAAGTCCCGCATCGGGCTCTCTGCTCGGCAGGAAGCCTGCTTCTCCCTCTCCCACTCCCCCTGCTTGTGTTCCTGCTCTCGCTATCTCTCTGTTAAATAAATAAATAAGGTCTTTAAAATAAATAAATAAATAAATAAATAAAAATCTAGAATTCTCTAACGGTAACTTGGCTCTTTCACAAGAATGTTTTCCTCTGCAAAATACAAGAGGCTGAAAGATGGCAACATAACCCGCTAGTGGGAAATGTCTAAATAAGAATTGTCTACTCCATGGGTGCCTGGGTGGCTCAGTCGTTCAGCGTCTGCCTTCAGCTCAGGTCATGATCCCAGGGTCCTGGGATGGAGCCCCACATCGGGCTCCCTGCTCAGCGGGAAGCCTGCTTCTCCCTCTCCCCCGCTTGTGTCCCTCTCTCGCTGTGTCTCTCTCTGTCAAATAAAT